AACTGTTGTCTCTCCTGACTTTTTTTTTGTATTTGCAATTGCTAGTGCTGACACAAAATGCTTTTTTGCCACAGAAGTCTCATTCATGTTTGGGACTACATGACAGGGCTGTGTGACCATCTTCCTATCAAATGAAAATTTTAATGCGCTACCCTGGCGTCAACCAGGCTCGGTAGAACACAAGCACCTGCGGACCTTAACCAAGGTTCCCCAAAGACGTGCTCGTTAGGGAATGAATCTCGGCCAGTGGAATTGGCCTTCCCATTGAGTCTGTGGCACACCCACCCAGGGTCAGTGGCGGATCTATAAATGTATTCAATTTGTTTGTGTATAATATAAAAAAATCATTAACTTAGTCTGGCGATTTTAATGTTTGGACCCCCCCCCTTATAAAAAAAATCCTGTATCCGCCCATGGTATGGGTCGACCTATTTGACGTTCAGTCTAAGGTAGTATTTGAACTTGGGTTTACCTATCATGAGTCTGATGCGACAACCACTATGGTACCAGTGACCGGTGTTCGGTTCTTTTAATGTTTTATATTTAACCACAATTAAACCTTTAAATATGGCGGTCACTGGATAGTGCAAACAATGGTACTGACTCCTAGGTAGGCACTGTTTCGATTGACTATACATTTTGCGTTCTTTTTCAAATGAGCAGTAATTGTTAACTTGTGTGGGCTATATAAAATGTCATAATGGTACAAATGCATGATAACATTTTTGGAACATGGAGCTAATCTTTTTTAGTTCTATGGTGGGATCAGTCAGTCGAATTTAACAACGTATACGGTTACTATAACAACCAAACTTGACTAAAAATTTGACACAGATTGCGATCGTGTTTACTTTGAAATAAGATAAACTTAAATACCGTTGTCCGAGCAGTAAAATTTAGTTTAGGACGCCAATGCACTAACAATACCTTTTGCAAATGATCGCTGGTATTGCCTCTACCATTTTTAAACCCCTTTACGCCGGAGTGGATCTTCTTTTTTATATATTGTGAATGTTCGAGCCATGGAATGGGTGAGCGGAGTGAGTGCACTTAAACTAAAAGAATCGAACAACACACTATACAAAATGAAGTAATAATAGTCACAACCGCTTCCGACAAGTAGTCTATTTTGTTCTTAATAATACCGTAGCGGGCAGTATACATTAATGTAGGGATATTCCGAGTGTATTGTTGGAATAGCGATAAAATAAAAAGTCTGCCTTAATTTTTTTGACCAATCATACATTTGCTGTCGAATCTCGCCCGTGATCTCGTCTCGTACTAACCTTCGGTTTTTCGCTAAATAAATAATGTTTTCGAAATCCCAACATAAAAGTTTTTTTAGTAAGATTAGAGATTCGTCGAAGTATTCAGTGATGAGAACCAAATCAAATTCGTTGTTAAGTTTGATGTATAGTTTTGTTGACGATAGTTTCGTTTGCCGTGTCACTTAGTGATAAACCGAGTTCTCGTATTTGATTGTTTCGACTTCCTGCTTGTCCGCCACTTTCAAAATTGCCCAAGTCTCTCGAGAAGCTCGTTGTCCCGTCCGCAGTATGACCTGCTACCTAAAAAAATAGCACTGATTCAATCTGTCTGGCGGGCTCTCTCAATATAGTAACGTATTTTGCGCCATCTCCCATGAGTTGATTGATCCGAGCTTTCGAATATGTAACGTGGCCAGTGAATATTGTATTTGCCCGATGATCCAACGACAGCGCCACCATTTGTTGGCAAAAGTCGATCCTGTCGCAGAGGAGTGTGAGGTAAATGCTCATTTTTTGTGTTGAATTTAGAGAAGACGAATGAAAGACCATTAGTGTATCCATAGCGACAGAAGATGCAATGGAGTGACGTGCTGGCACTTTTATGTGTTTTGACAAAGACAATATTAAACTTTCGTTCACACTGCTGTTTCTTGGCAACGGTTGATGTAGCAAATAATGGTTTCTATTTAACTGTTCCAATAATAATCTGTTAATAATGTCACTACCACAGTAACAGCAATAAGTGACAAACATATTCTAGATAGAGCCTGTAAATTAATTAAAATATTATTAGGTAATATCATAAGTAAAATACAAAGAAATTACGAGAGTATTTTCCCATATTTTACAACACAGTGAAAAGGATAATATTGCGTGCAGTACACAATGACTTCATTTAAAAATGTTCTAATATTTTTGGATTAGCCAATATCGGCAATAAACTTGAATCGTGAGAAATTAAACTTGGGTAAAAATCAAAAACAAATGTGATTTTTTTCGTGTTGGTATATGCGGTAATACATTCTACAGCCAGCCACAGTGCTGGGTGACTCCTTACCTGAACGTGTTATATACTTACTACATTTACATAAATCTGACAATAGAACTTTGCTCACTCTCCTAAATTAATGTGACTTCTCAGAGGACCCTACAAACTAAATTATGATGCGTTAAACGTGAAAAACAAGACCCGTACAGTTGAGTAATTACAACTGTTGCAATGAGAAGTGCCGTAGTGCGAAGTTAACCACATTTAAAAGACTCGCCTTGTTATATGTTGGTACCATATTGTTCATGCGTATGATGTCATAACGCCGTTATAGTACGAGGTTATATAACTGAGGTGAACCAACCTTTGAGTGCCAACATTGCCTGAAGTAACCCATCATTGCTTTACTATACAGCATTGAATCGAACAACGTGATGATTCACTCAACTGTGTTTATACTGTGTGTAAACCGTACAAATAATAAGGATTGCACTCCTCATTAGCATATTTTACTCATCAATTGGAAAGTGGAGGAATCACCATGATGATGTATCAGTAAATTAATCATGTCTGTCTGTCTGTCTGTCTGTCTGTCTGTCTGTCTGTCTGTCTGTCTGTCTGTCTGTCTGTCTGTCTGTCTGTATGTCTGTCTGTCTGTCTGTCTGAAGAGGAGGACATCTTCACTTAATTTGCTGATGATGATGGTATCAAATTTTATATTAGTCATCATTGTCGATATAACTATGAAATTAAATGACATTACTAACAATTTATAGCGTGAATATTTATCCCTAGTTCCGGATTTAACATATGTAATATTATTTACTAATTGCCTAGCAAAAGGTTCCTAACTGTGTTATCTATGTGGTGTCTGGCACGAAAACCTGCGCCAGTGATATTGGATATTTACCGCAATGTTACAGGGACAGGAGCCGCTATCGTATATCTAATTATTAGGTATCTTATCGTGAATAAACATTTCCCAATTTTCTGCATGGAACCGCATGTGTGGACACTGCCAGCGACATCAGAATCAGCACGAGGCTACTTGCAAGATTGTGCCCGATTGGCTTACCAAACAGCTTTTTAATTGACAGGGTTTTTCCACGTGTCAAATTCTGCTTTGTATGTATGCTTCGG